CTCAAGGTGCTTGAGATTATTACAATTTAATTTTGTCCATTTTGGCATAATTTCCAACTTCCTCTTATCTAAAACATAATCACTGCAGGTTGGAATGTATTTTAAACATATCTTTATTTATTTTGGAGCGTTTGCTAAAAATAATATCGAATTAGTTTTAATATATACAGTAGAGCTCACAAAAAAGAACACCCCACGTTTACGATCAAACACGACCAAATCGGTATATGGGTTATATCCTGTAATCGGAACAAAAGGAAACAGTGCAATATTATGAACTATAAAATTATTTGTACTCTTAACATTTTTTTTAGTTAATAATGGCAAAATCGGCTGTTCGATTTTTTTTTGGGCCGTACTGTGTTGTTATATCAAATGAAACAAGAGCTCTAGTTGATAGTTCTTTTTTGGGAACGTAGGTCCCGGAGAACTACCCAATATGCGCCGATTTATTGTCATCTGTCACATTTGTCGTTTATGTTTCGTTCAGTTGTTCTGCTTCTTCGTGAAATTAATTTTAATTCAAATTTGCAACAGATCACTTCGTTATCATCTCATTTTCTTTGACATATCGTGTCGTCGCAACTGGAAGGATTTTTTTGGTTACTCGGTCTTGATGTATAACGTAATAACATCAATGCTAACCGGTCTTAAGAATTTGGACGAAATTGGAAATGCTGAGAATCAAACCTGGACCCCTTTACATTTACAACGGACATTGTTTTATCACTGCTCTATATGTCTTAATTACAGCAATGTTGATAATATGGTTTTTATAGAGCAACTCTGTACGTATAAAATACCCTAAGAAAACTACTTATAATAACAAAATTAGTCTTAACAGATGTTTTCTGATGATTAAATTACTATTACCAAAATTCTAAAATGTTTCGTTGCAGAGATTCTAAGACAATCTGTTAATGCATTCTCCAAATTTTAGCTTTTTTTAGAGTGCATAAGCTTGCAAAGTAAGGTATAATACAGAAGAATTGCAAGCGCAGGAAATTAAGGCAAAATATGAAACAGATAGAAAGAAACCTCGAAAAGCAAAACCTTTCAAAAGAAAAAAATATAAATACCAAATGGAACAATATAGAACGAATAGTAAAAAAGCGACAAAAAGACATGTGAGTAAAGCAAAAGCAAGAGAAAGGAAAGAATGGTTAGACGGAGAATGCGAACCAGAAATAAAACATAAAAAGAGTTACGCAGAATGAAAATGCTGCAGATAAACAACGAAGAAAATACAAGGAATTATAACAGTCAAAGAAAGAAAGCTAAGCAAATATGTCGCAGGAAAAAATGGATTCTTTAGAAAGACAAATAAAAACTATAGAGGAAGCATACCCGAAGAAAGAGATAAGAAACTTTTATAAAGACATACAGAACGTAAAGTTAACAAAACACGAATCTACCCAATATACTCATATAAAAGATGCAGAAGGCAACTTAATAGGCGACGATAAAGGAAGATTTAATACTTCGAACAAATATTAAATAGCGAAATCAGAGGAGGTCAGAGAGAAGTGCAAAAACAAGTACTAAAAAAGAACTTTAACTAATGAAAGTGTAGCAATGCCAACAAGAGAAAAGATAGAGGAGATTATAAATCAGATGAAGAATAACAAAAGCCCAGGGAGAAATGGAATTACGAAAGAAAAGCTAAAATATGGAGGTGAAAAACTGAAAGACGATATCCAGCTGGTAATAAAGCAAATTTGGGAAACGGAAGAAATGCCGGATAGCTGGAAAGAAGCACTAATGACGCCGCTTTTTAAAAAAGGTGACAGAAGAAGCTGCGAAAACTACCGTGGAATTGCGTTATTAGACGTTACGTACAAACTACTGATGGCATCGATAATAAAAAGAAGACTTGAAGGATATATGGAAGAAGCTCTAGGAGAATATCAAGGAGGCTTTAGAAAATGAAGAGGGACAATCGATCAAATATTTATGTTGAAACAAATCGTGGTAGGAAACTACATATGAAATTCCTACTCATTTACTCTTCGTGAACTTCAAAAGAGCTTACGATACGGTGAACAGGACGAAGTTAATAAACATATTGCGAGAAATAGATATTCCCGAAAAACTAATAAATCTAATAAAAATGACATTGAAAAACACAATAAGCAGAGTAAAAGTAAAAGGAAAAACTTACGACAGTTTCACTGTCAAACAAGGACTCAGACAAGGTGATCCGTTGTCAACAACTCTATTCAATCTGGTTCTAGAGAGTATTATAAGGAAAAGTGATATAAACAGGAAGGGTCCACTATTCAATAGAAGCCATCAATGTCTAGCCTACGCGGACAATTTAGTCCTACTAGCTAGGAACAGAAAGGAATTAGAAAGGATAACAACAAAACTAATGAGACAACCAGAAGAGGTAGGCTTAGAATTTAATATAGAATAAACAAAATATATGGAACTAAAGAATAACTGTGGGAGTAGAAAGACAAGAAGGAATAAAAGTAGAATTTGAAGAAGTAGAAATGTTTACGTATGAAGACAAAGAAATAAAACAAAGGATTGCTAAAAGTAACAACTGTGCAGGACAATTAAGAAAAATTATGAAAAGTAAAGAAATATCAAGACAAACAAAACTAAGAACATACAGCGTATTATTGAAAGTTACGTACAAAATAAAATCGGCAAATGGTCTCGAAGTATGGGTGCTAAAAGTATATATGTATAAGTTGACGTAAAAGTTTTCTCCTTTTAGAAGTAAATATTATTAAAATTTATGTCCAAATTCGTTGTACGCCTCTGATAACAAGATCATCTTTTATTGTTGCAGTTGTTAGTATTTACTAAAATAAATGAATTTTACCTATTTATCCTTGAGTGGCGTCTAAAAAGGTTGGATAAGGGTTAATTTTCCCCTTATAGTTTTGATAACACAAAATAAGTTTTTCAGATTTCTTAGACTTCGCGAAGAACTGTCAATTCTGTTGTACGTACCTTTCAATAACACCCTGTATATAAAACCATAGTGTGACCAACCCTAGCATACGTGTGCGAGACATGGATTATTACACATAAAATGAAACAAAGACTGCAAGTTGGGGAAAGAAAGATACTTAGACGAATCTTTGGAGGGAAGCAAACAGAAGGAGGATGGGAAAGAAGAACTAATGAAGAAATATTTGATTATATAATGACACAGTTGTAAGCAATTTCATAAAAAGAAAAAGATTCCAATGGTTAGGACACCTAGAAAGAATAACCCAAGAAAGAGAAGTTAAGATGGTGCCATGGAAAATTCCGGAGGGCAAAAAGAAAAGAGGCAGACCAATGAAGATGTGGAAAGAAGCGATAGAGGAAGACCTAGCAGAAAAACAAATTCAGGACTGGAGAAAGAACACAAAAAACCGAAGGGAATGGAGACGCATCTCAAAGCTATGGGCCTAAATGACTTGCGAGAAGCTTAATTAATATTATAAACTATATATAAGCTTGCAAAAGAGGATAAGTTTTTAAAATAGACATAAGTGGACTTGTGTCAGTATAGGTTTGAAGCACGATTTACCTTGCATGATTTTAAGATAAACACATCACATTTTTGGTAGTGGAAATTAACGAACAATTTTAGGTTAGCATTTTGTCATCTGCATAGTAATTATATGATAAACTTAGAATTTTACAATACTGTGTCCAGTAATTTCCAAGATTGCTTGTCTAATAAAACTAGCAACAGATAGAGGATAGACGACAAAAATATATTTTCCTATTCTACAAGCTTTAAAACATCGAGCTCACGAAGTCCTACATTTTTGCTTCCCAATCAGTTCAGTGGATTCCCAGAATATCGCTTTAATAAAATCAACAGACAACAGACGAGAGACGATACAAAAATGGAAACAGGAGACCTATTTTAATACACTCGGAAGTTATGAAAAATCAAGGAACTACGAAATTAGTCATTAATTAAGAGGCATGGATCCTATGACAAGTAAAAAAAAATGCCTAATTATATCACAGTTAGAACAAAAACATTAAAACATTCATTTGTATTACGGTCAATTTGACGACTAGCTAATTTCATGTCTTCTCCACGTTATACGGCATGTATAATATGTACATCTTGATATCCTCTTTCCACCTGTCTGTCGTCTGTCTGTTAGTGATTTTATTGGATCCGTAATCTCCGAAATTACTGCACCGATTCCTGTGAAATTTTGAGAACACTTTAAGGTTATCGTATAGATCAATTTTTTTTTATCCCCACCGACAATTTAATGACTTCAGTTCAAAATTTTGCTCCGTAAATCTTATTAATAAGTTTTATAAAATAATACGCTTCCGTATTTGTAGTGTGTTAATCAGCCCTTATATTTTACCCTAAACACCTAGATTTTTGGAAAAGTGCACCCATATTTTTATTTTAACACATGTGTAAATTATTGGATAAGTTTCAAACTAGTACAGCAACATTTTACAGTTTATCTTAGAAACCGCCCTGAAATTCGCACGAGCTTTGAATTTATCAGCACCCCGATCGACCCATAACCAAAATTTATGCATCCATCAACACTAAAATTTTGATGATGTCACTTCGTAAGTTTGTTACGTAATTTCTATTTAAAATGTGCGCAATAACTTGTATTTGTACGTATGATTTACTAATCCATTCATGCATGCATTTTAAATTGCATGCATTATTATCATAAAAAAGTGAAAATTTCAACATCAGCTGAAATAACATTGGACTAGTTTTGTTAATGCAGAATGAACTTCCTTCCACAGGTACATTTTTCGAATTTCATAAACTCATCCACAAAATCCATTCAACAATTAAATTGCTTTTAACAAATAGTCGTAACGTTTTAAACGCATGCAGCAAAAAACCACAATTCTTTCCAGCGTATTGAATAGGGTATTCCACGATTTTTTTTTAATGCACTACACGAAAGAATATCGTCTACAAAATGCGAAGATGTGGTCAATATTTTTTTTTTACTTTTCAATAACTCAAAAAAAAAAAGTTAAATTTAAAGTAATTTTTTCCCGCGGTTAAGTTGTGCATTACGTACGTCATGATGACGTACGTAACGCTGACCAATGGGATCAGCGTAGCGATGTGGCAACTCCGCTCACGCTGCTTTAAAGTTAGACGACATCGGTATTTAGCCATCTTGAATTCTTATTGGGTTATGATAGGTTAGGTTTATTTATGTTTGGTCGATCTTAGTGTTAACGTTTTGTAATTTGCTCTCATTGACGCTTAAAATAATTTAAAAAGTCAGTCGTTTCCATTATTTGACATTGTTTGTTTAAACACGGTGAGTAGAATTGGCCGTTTAATATTTACCACTTACCAAAACCTTTTACAGCGACTTACAACTTAAAATTGTGTAGGAAGATTATCTGGGAAAATACGGCACAGAATAAATAGTCACAATGGAAAGTGAATATGAGCAAGCTACTTCTACCAATCTCCCTGTAGTTGATGATGTAATGATAGATTTGTATTATCGAAGAAATGTGAATTTTCTGATACCAGGTGTTGAAAATGTGAAAACCGAACGGTAAAGTGTACAACGTAATAATGATTTGATAGTAATTATTCATTGTTATAGTGGAGCTCGTGCAACTTACGGCGACGATGCTGTTGGTTATGTGCAGTTGAGACGACACGATGAGATTTGTACTGTCAAAGCTTTGATTGCACCAGAACATAAAGTTCGCCTAAAAGGCTATGAAGTTTCAGTAAGAATAAATGAGTCTGAACAATGCATAATTGACTCAAAGTGTTATGACTGTGCTGCAAGTGAAGGTATGAATGATTTTATGTTGTATGAGTGTATGTATTACGTCTACTTTTCAGGTGGTTGTAAACATGGTGTAGCCTTACTGTTCTGGTTATACAGACGTACCTTGGAGCCTTCAGTGACTTCTGTTGAATGTTATTGGAGGAAGTCTACTCTGTCTAAAGTTGGCAGTACTATAAAAGGGCAAAGAATGAGAGAGTTGTTTAATTTTCGGCAAGTTCCTTCTTTACCAACAAAAGGAACGGCATTTTTGGACAAAGTAATTTCTACCGCATTAAAATCAGATAGTCATTCAATTCTTGCTACAATGTATAAGAGTGAAGTGAATATTTTGGAGAAAGCTTCGTTGTACCATTTATGTCTTTCTTATAAAAAAACGACTGATGCACCAAATGCAGAAGACTTCATATCGTTTTGCCAAAATAATTTAAATAGTGAAATTTGCAAAAGTATAGATACTTTAACAATATTGCAGTCACAATCTAAAGCCTGGTTTGATGTTAGATATGCGAGAATAACAGCTTCAAAGCTGCATGAAGTTGCTCACTGCAAAACTGTTGATGGAGCTACAACTGCTGCAGTTCTGACAGCATCAAAATTTAGAGGAACAAAGGCCATGAAAAGAGGCCTTAACCTTGAAGAAGATGTCTTAAAAGTCATAGCTGAGGAGAAAAATATTAAATTAGAAAGAGTAGGAATGACCATAAATCATATGTACCCAATATTTGGTGCCTCGGCAGATGCAATGTCTGATAAATATTGCGTTGAAATAAAATGTCCAATAAAGACAAATACTGTAAAAAATTACATTACGCCAGAGGGTGAAATAACTCCTAAACCATATGCACAACTGCAGCTGCAAATGTTTCTTAGTAAAAAACAATGGGGTTTATTTTGCGTTGCATCTCCATCTTTTGAAACGGACAGAAATGTGACTATAAAGGAAATTCCTTTGGATGAAAATTTTTGTCACAATGTAATGGAGCAGGCACAAGCTTTTTGGAAAAAAGCGATTTTTCCAATTTTAATTAACTGATGTTTTCAATAATTATACTTATTTATTTCATAATTATTTCTTATTCATTTCAATAATAAATAAATCTAAATCCCGTTATACCCCAATCCCCTAGTATCAATAAAAAAAAGTTAAATGCTTCTATTTATACAATTAATTTATTGTTTCCAATAAAATACAAATAAAAACCATGTAAAAACTATTGTATTAATGGACCTTGCAAATTTATCAAACCACAAGCAACAATTACAATATGATCCAAAAGTGGCACCAAATTATGATCTGTGGTAGCATGTGGACCCAACATTCGAAATTCTCTGATCCTACGAATTAATCTTTCAATGTGGATCCTCAACGCTGCGACAAGTTTCGACTGACGTACCTCATCCTTCGTCATTTTTCTGGTGCTTGTGACGCTGGGAGGTCTGACTAGATTCACCTTTTTTTTCTGGAAAAGCCCTGCTACTTGCTTGAAGCCCCTATCGGTCATTACAGTTGCATTTTCAGGTACAACGGTCAAATACTCTGATTGCTTAATTATTTCTACATCTGATGTGCGACCTCCAAACCCTTCTGATATAAAATTAATTAGCCCATTTGGAGTACTTGACACTAAATACTTGCATGTGTTACAAGTTTTATAATTGCTCCAGGTTAAAGCTTGCTGATAAGCTGCACTAGGTCTTTCAACCTGTATTTCGAAGCAATCAATGATTGCTTCAACATCTTTATAATACGTCTGAAACTGCCTAGGTAGAACTCGCTGAATTTTACTTTTCTCAGGCCAAAAAATTAACTCATTGAGTTTTGTAGCCATTTTTGGCAATGTTTTTGAAAATATATTACTGACACCACTAGTGCTTAATGCAAAATCTGTCCCTAATCGTACAAATTGGTCATCTGTTCGTATTTTCTTAAGAACGATATAAATATGTTCTACAGGAACTTCTAATTCTTCTTGGAGTAATTTGATGAAAAAAAATTCTGACTTGGGCAAGCCCAGATAAAATCTGCTATTATTTTCAATTTTGAATATTTCCACTTTCACCAATAGTTCTTTGGATATCATATTAGTTTCATGCAATGACTCCGATGATGGCTCATAAACACTTCCACTTTGGAGTGAAAGGGAGGATGATGACAATGATGTCGATGATCCCTGAATAGGTTTGTGGGGGCTTTGATATATTTGTGACGATAATGATCGAAGAGTGTTTGTGCTTTTATCTGCCACTTCAACTGAGGTCATTGATGACTGATCTTTTGTGCTAACTCTTGTCTGAGTTGCTTTTCTAAGAGTTCTCCTTTTTGTTCTTAAAGGAGAAACTGATTTTTCTGGCGATTTTGCACTAACAAACATGCCAGATGGTGAAGCCACTGTTTTTAATTGCAGTTCTTCTACATCCTCTGTTACATCCTGTGAAGTACCAGGTACAGTAGGTTCAGGAAACAGTTTCCTTCGAAGCCCTCTACTGTGCTGTTGTGTTTCCATCTTACGTTTCCTTGAAGTTGGTGTGAATTGGGACGAAGTCTCTTTCCTCACCATGCTTCTTGGAACCACATTGTCTTTTAACATTAGGCGTGTACCCATTAATTTGAAATGAATCCAATTTTCAGCATCCTTTTCCAACTTTATTAAAGAAAATTTGTTAATAAGGTGATACAAGTAGATACCGACATACAAATTTTTGAAATATTTACTATACTTACATCAAAATGATCTTCACAACAGTACAAACTTTTCCCAGGTATGTATGTTCTTCCCACAGCTTCAAACCATAACTTCCTCCGATCCACTTTTTGGGGAACAGTAAGAAATAATTTTTCTGGATTATTTGTAGAGTTATTATCACACCCAACGAAGAAACACTGTTTCGCCATCGTGCCAATTTTTTCTATTTAATTTGTTTATATTTAAGGAATAAAACGAACAGGCCAAGTTGATCAAAAACACGTGCACACTCTGACCTACCTCAATATAATAAACCAGCAGGTTTGGCAACACAGCATCGCTGCCATCGCTTCAAAGTGATTGGTTACACTTTTAACCGCGAAATACTGCAACTTTGAGCCGGCCTCTCACTCTTCTATTATTTTGACAATTTTTTTCAAAGCGATTATGTTTTATAAATAGTTCAAATTTGTTTTTTGTACATGTATTTAGATATTGTTTCAGAATGTTTAGTTAAAATTTGATTTTAAACTTTAGTGGAAAACCCTATTAACTATGGTATTTAATTTAATTTTCTGTTGTTCTCTAACCCATCTATTCTAATTAAAAAAGTCTAACGTGTCTTATAAACTAATTTATTTTTTTGCTGTTGTTGAGTGATAACTAATTTTTGAGTTGTTTTTTAAATGTTATCCATTTAACGGATGTACAAATATGCCGATTAAACTAATTATTTAATTGTTAGCTTAAAAATAATATGTTGAGTTGCGTAAAAGTCAATTATAAGACGATATTTCGCTTATATTAATAAAGGTAATGACGGTGGATTTATATGCATCTAAGGGTGTTATGACAAATTTTAAAGCTTTTAGCATCGTCGAAACGTTATAGGCTTATAAATATTTATCAGATTTGAAAGCGGTGCGGCAGAACGTTATAGAGGAAAATCTGGTGTCGCAGCGGCTCGTACACACAAATACATTCTTTATTCGTACAGTTATGATACATAAAGGCACACATTCGTCATAGCACGTTGCCTTATGAATACCTATCACGTCTGCTCCATGTATATTCACTACCATACACATAAGTTACAACTGGAAAAAAATTCCGTACTGAATTTCTATTGAATTATGCGTAAAATCGCAAGAATGAATACTTTAATTAAAAGATTGCATTTGGAGATTTATTTACATGAAGTTCTAGAGGAAATCCCTTCGTTAGAAGCTATATTTTTTCCGAAAAGATACACAAGCGCTTCCTTAATTGGATAAAATGTCTTTTTAAGGTAGTAATTAAGGATAATGAATTCATTTATAAGACCAGGCGAGATGGCGTTTTAATCAGAAACGATTATTATCGCGATCTACGGTTTTTATTTTTAGCTGTTCTCCACATATTCTTGTGAATTATTTTAGGTTCCATTCTCTGGTTCAAGGAGTTTGCTAAAGTGCCACCGTTTCTTTCATTAGCACCGAATATCACTCTTAGTGCAACTGAAGCCTGAATAAGGAGTAAAATAGTAATTAAAAGGCATAAAGGATGGGGCGTTCGTTATTTCACCTGCACGCTTGTAGAGGCATGGGGGTTGCTGCGAAAGCTCTCAGCGTTCTAATTTGATTTCACTCTCACATAATGGACGTGTTGTTTTTAGCCCCGCTAGCTCGTTAATGTTGTTAAAATGTATGCCAGTGCGTTTCAAAAAAAAAACTTCGTGTTGAATTGTTGTCCGTCCTGGGATTTGCTGTCATCACATACGTGTAGCATGGGTAACATAATTATCCGTTATAATTTTAAGACGCCCTTTTTTCCATTAATTAAATTAAAGGTTGCTTTAAAATTTTACCCTCGACATATTACGCAATGTATAGTAGAAACAACACACTAATTAAAATGATTAGTACAAAAACTACACTGGATATTTTATATTGCGTTATTTAATATTATTTGTCGATTGATGTCTGTCGTCTGTTTCTCACCGATTTTATCAGATAGGATAATTCGCGACATTACTGAACTGATTGTTACGAAAGTTAGATATAGCGTTTTTGGGAATATCGTCAAACACTAATCAAAATTTATCTGATAACTCCCTTCAACAATTTGCTGATGTCATATCAAAATTTTGTAAAGTAAATCCTAATTAAATTCTGTAAAGTAACATATTTCTGTATTAATCCGCTTTTATTCTTTACCTTAATTAACCAAATTTTTGGAAACAAAATTAAACAGGTACAACATTTTGTAATTTAACTTAGCAACTACAAAACCGAATGCTCTGAAACCTTACGAACGTTAAGTTTATCGTAAGCATGGTAAATCTTTAACCAAAATGTATCCACTTATCCCTTCGAAAACTTGACAAACTTGATAGGGTCTCAACATTTTTGCTTAATAAAACAAATAAAAACAACACCATTTTTTTAAGCTGATATGTTATTGCTTCATCAAGGCACCGGCGGGCTGGACTGACACAATAAAGTAATAATAAACTATAAACAAATTCGATTGTTATCTTTATTAGAACACAAACAAATAAAGAAGTGAAAAATCTAAGGCACATAGAAAAGAAAGGTACATGAACTTTGTGTTAATTGTCGAGCTATAACATATCCAGTATTTTGAAATAGTACAGTACATTACATTTTTGGATTGCTTATAAAAACATTCAAAGTAAACCTACTATTTAACCCCACGTATCGTTTTCTTTTATTCAGTTCACTTTTATTTGCACATGTAAAGTCCATAAACAGTGCATATTATATGAGCGACTTTACGACGGTATTGCCAATTTGAAATGCACCCCAAATTATAGAATAATATATGAGCCCTGCATAAATTACCAAGATTTTTGTGTCTAGAATCTATTGATGTCAAAATTTGATTTTTATTTACTTGTGAATTACAATTTTTGTTAAATTTTCAAATACAGTTTCATGTTTTTGCTCGTCTGCATATGGTATAGGAAACCTGATATGCAAAAATAAAGATGTGTTAATGTAAAGCTATGGATAAAATTAGACCCAAATCTTTTGTAAAGTATGTGTGTGAGTTCCGCAGAATTTTCCAGTTTAGCTTCGGCAAATTCGAACGTCTTATTTGTCAATATTCGTACGAATACAAAGTTCAATCCAGCTGTGGAGCTCGGGAGATCTGGTGACCTACTTGTAGCTTTCTGGTGTTGTTGACTTCAGAACTGTGAGATATGGCTCGAAAAGGCAAGCAAAATGTTCCAGCTTCAGACCTAGTGGCGTCGAGTTGGTCGTTTCACCTGCTCCTTCTTTCTCTACGTAATTAAGGCGATTGCGACTACTCCAGCTTATCGCAATGTAATGTTGTTTGCTCTACGTAAACTTACATTTATCCCATTTCATCTCGTCAG